TATTTTTTACATTTTATTACCACCCAGTTTGTTGCTTTTTTCTTCAATTCTTATGGTGTATTTTAATAAAGAGAAATTTAAGATAATTTAATTCATCCAAATTTTCTTTACCTGCTTACTTTTTCCTGTATTTTGAAGAAATTCTGAGGTAATAAAAATTTTGTTTTCTTCTAAAAGGTTTAGAGTTTTCCTTTCACAGTTGTTAACTAGAATGTATTATGTAAATGGTATAAAATAAGAATGAATTTTCTTTATTTTCCTTTTTCAATATGGAAAATAACTATCCTACTACAATATATTGATGACTTTATGCTTTCTTCTCTAGTGCATGATAGTGTCTTAATCATACAGACATGGATGTGATTGCTGGTTTTGTTCCTTTCCATCTGGTATCTATTCTGAGTAATCTATTCTGTCTTAGAACTCTAAGTATCACGTATATTATTGGCTCTTGCTGCTCTTCCATGTGAATTTTATAATTGTCAGACTCTTTGAAAAATTCTTTAATTTATGCTTGGAGTGTCATTGAGTTTATAGATAAATTTAGAGATAATTGAAATTCAAGTCTGAAGTGCTTATTTAAAAATTATAATTGTTTTTGAAATCATTTCAGTAATTTTAATATTTTCAGCATTTATCGGTCTCAACTACATTTTTGTATTTGTTGAGACTAAAATTGATAAGAATATTTTCTTAGTAATTCTTAATCTTTGAAGCATCTGTAACTACTTTATTTTATATTCCTAAAAATATTTTTCTCAGACTTCTGAGATTTTTGTTAATTTCTTTAGTCTTTTTAAATTTCTCTGTTATGTTTTTGTTCTTTAATTCATTAATTTGTACTGTTTTTATTTTCTTCTTTGTGCATATTAAATTGATTGATTAGCTCATTAATTTCCTTTCCTTATTCCTAAACATTTAGTTATTAGTTTTTCTGTAAGTACTACTTATACTGTAAGCCATAAATTTTGCTGAGTAGTATTTTAATGTAATTTATTTCATGTAATTTCTAACTTCTTTAATGATTTTCTTTTTGACCCATGGGTTATTTGATGTGTGTGTGCATTTCAATTTATAAATTAAAGGGCCAGGGATTTAGCTCAGTGGTTTAGCCACCTGCTGCACAAGCTCAAGGCCCCAAGTTCAACGGCCGGTGCCAAAAAGAATACATCAATTTATAAATTAGAGGGTTTCTCTTAGATATAAATTTATTAATGATAAGATCAGGGTAATTGGGATATCCATCACCTCAAATGGTAGGGATCATTTCTTTCTGTTGAGTTTGCTTTATGGCCTAGAACATTATCGGTTTTCATAAATGTCCCATGTGTATTTTAAAAGAATATATATTTTTCAGTTGTTAATTAATATATTCAAATCTTCTACATCTTTATTTTCTTCTCACTGCTTGATATACTAAATCTTCCACAATGGTGGCACTTTTTTTTTTTTTTTGGTGCTGGGGATTAAACCTGCTAGACAAACAATCTGCCACAGAGCTACACCCTCAGCTTCAAAATGACAGTTTTGGTTTTATTTATATAGAAGCTATAGAAGTATATATGTTTCTGGTGAAGTGGCCCAGTTTATTTCTAGCAGTGCTTTCTACCTTAAGATATATTTTCTCTGGTAGTAATGCAACAGCTTCATTATATTAATGTTGGCCTAGTATATCTTCCTGCCAATTCTTCAAGTTTTCTATACTTTTGGATCTTGTAAAAGGCATATATTTAAATTTTTATATCATTTTGACAGTTTTTTCTAGAAAATCCATGTACACAGATTACAATTGCTAATACGTCAATTAACTTCTGTCATATTTTGCCTATTTATCACATTTTTCATTATTTTATTGTGTATGTGTTCTTGTGTCTATTTCATGTCTTCTTTTAGATTGTATTAAGGCTTCTCTTCCTTTAGTATATAGTTTTGCATTTTAAAGTTTATTTTTCTGTGCTAGTTTGGAGTTTGCTGTTATTCTTATGTTTTAGGAATTACATACATATTTAACTGAACAAAGTTTAAAATTAATGAATTTCTTTATTCTCCTCTCAAGAACAAGAGGATTTTAACCTCCCTGTTGTCTAACAATTAGCTCTAGATAGCTTGAAACATTAGCAAAGTAGATATTACTTTTATTGCTTATTTTAGAAACAAATGATTTTTAAATTTAACCAAACTTTAACATATTCATTGTTCCCTATTTCTCCTTGCTTCTCAGATCCTCCCTCCTTCCCTCCCTCCTTTTCTTCCGTTCTTACTTCTTTCTTTCTTTTTCCTTTCCTTCCTCTTTCCTTCCTTCCTTCTTTCTTTCTTTTTTTTCCCACAAGGTCTTCTTATGTACTTAAACCAGACTGGAACTTGCTATGTAGTCCAAGCTGACCTTGAACTCACAATCCTCATACTGCAACTAAGATGTTCTTTCTAAGATCATTTTCCTTCTCAAGTTTACCTTTCAGAGGAGTCTTTAGTGACAATCAGTTGACATTAGCTTTCAGCTATAGTTTTCTTGAAACTATGTTTATCTTCAATCTGAAGATGCTTTTGCTAAAATTGTAATTTTAAGCTCACATTTCCTTTCTATATTGCAAATATATATCATTATTTTCTGATTTAATTAATATTCCTTTAACTTCCCTCTGCTCCACTCCAGTCACCTGTAATGCCATCTCTTCATTGTTAATATTTTACAGTTCTTGCATACAATGTTTCTTTCATATATTTATTTGAGAAATATATGCATTTGGCTACTGAATTATGTAGTCAGCATATTGTATCTATTCTGGAAAATCTTCAACTATTATCTTTTTGATAGTGTGTCCTTCAGATTCTAATTCCTTCTAAAAATTGAAGATATATGATAGATTTTCTCATTTTATTCTCTGTCCTTGATAAGCTCTCTTTCATTGCTTTGTCTCAATACTGTATTCTGGTTAATTTTTTTACAGCTATCTGTTCAGTTTTTCCTCTTTTCAACTATGTCTGATCCCAGAGTTCTCAACCAAGGCCAGTGTTGCCCATCAAGACACATTTAGCAATGTCTAAAGGAATCTTAGTCTGTCATAACCTAGATATTGTTAATGGTATCTGGTGTATGGATACCAAAGATGCTCACAAGCATACCATAATACACAGTGTACCACTCACAAAGAAACAGTGATCTAGCTCAAGTGGTCAATAGTGTTGATGTGAGAAAAACTTGGTCTAATCTGTTTTAGTTTGTCTGTTGAGTTTTAAACTTCAAGTACAGTATTGTTTTTTATTCGGTTCTATTTTATTCTTGTTTTAAAACTGCCTGATCAATATTGATAGTCTTAATTGCCTCAGCATACTTTTGATACCCACATTAATTTTAAATGTATTCGATTGTTACATTCTGATTCCAGGAGCTGCAGTCTCTGTGAGTTTGCTGTTTCTGTTGACTCTTGCTCGTGGTGGATTATTATTATTATTATTTGCTTAAATTCTTTTACTAGTACATTTTAGGTATACAATATGTTTACATTTATCATTGGGTGCTTTTATCTGTACATGTTGTATCTTGGTTCTTATTGTTTTCCCCATTACCTGCACCCTTCACCCCCTCCATCCTTCCCTATTTACGTAAACTTTGTTTCCATTTTTTTTCTCATAATTTTTCATTTCCCTTCTTTCTTTTCCCCTTCTCCTCCTTTTCTCCTACCCCTCTGCACTTTTTCTTCCTATTTCAAATTGTCAATTATTCATCATGGTGGATTTTTAATGTGAATTTTCTCCCTAGAGCTTTATCTTTGAGGGTTCCTCAAGGCCTGTGTTCAGAGTACAGTCATTCAGTGATCAGTACCTGAAGGCTTCGGCACCACCTGAAGGCATGTTAGAAATGCAGTGTTTCAGGCCCTCTAAGAGACCTGTGCAATCAGAACCTCCGTGGGTCGGGCCAAGATACCTATTTCATCCAGTTCTCCAAGTGATTTCTACACATGCCCAAGTGAGAAAGGCACTTAAGGTAATCCTCCAAAGAGTATTTCTGTTTCTTTCACCAGATATCTAGGAATATTACCAATCTAAAATCATTTTTATAATATTTGGGGGTAAGGGAAGATGGAAGAAGTGCTCCCTCTTGCCCCAAACTTACATACAGGAGAAAGAGTTTGGTTAGGAGTTTTCACGAAAGTAAGTCTCTGTCTCTGTCTCTTTCTTTTCTTCCCTCCTCCCCTCTTTCTATCCCTCCTTCCCTCCCTTCATCCTTCTGTCCCTCTTATCTCCTAACCAGAGCCAACTTTAGCCAGGAAAGCCAATTTCTCAGTGCACATATTTTTCCTCTTCCATCCATTGAGAGTAGCTCCCACCTGCCATCCTATCTTTACATAGGCATGTCTCCCACATGCTTGGGCCAGATATCTAACTGCTGAAGGCACACTAAGAATCCATGTGTTTCCCTTTCTGTAGCCAACAGAAACCCTCCATGTGAATGTTGCCACACTAGCTCATCCCCACTCTCACCCTAATATTTCACTTTCTTACCACTTGTGCTCTTCAGTGATCTTCTGTTTCATCTTAGAAATGGAAATAGGGAAGGGAGCAAGGGAAAGAGGGAGGGAGGGAGGGGTTTTTATATTTTCTCCAGCATTTTTAAGTGTTCTAGACCAAAAGAAATTTGTCTTCACACTTAACCCATTATATTGTCAGAAACAGAAGATCTTGTTTGGTTTTGAAAATACCCCAAATATTACCATGATCTGAAAAGTGGTAAAATGACTCACAGTGTGGTAAGCAGTAATCTCTGCCTCCAGCCTGCCCACAGCAACCATAGGAATGGGCAGGGGCAAAGACAGCCTGTCAGCTTTGGAGTCTGTTACTTAATGATCTCAGTCAGGCAAAGAATTTAATACAAGCTAAGTAATAAATACTGACTCCCAAGCATATGCCCCCTAGCAAAAACAGTTTCTGTACAAAATAAGACGCACAGTAACTACTTATTCCCGCTAATTTTAAAGAAACAGATATTTTGCACCAGCAAATGCTTGCAATATTTTATTGTAAGGCAATAAAAATTATGTAATTCCTCTGGGGCCCACATAGAATAGTTAGTCTTTTAGAACAGTTAGTTCTTGTCCAGTGCTATATGAGTTTTCAGGATCGCTCAAGGATTCTTCTCACATTATAAGCTTAGATATAGTCCCTCAGGGAAAGGAATAGGTTGCAATTATAACATTCAATTAACCATCGTATCTTGGTAACAGTATTTTCTAGGTCCCCAGACAAAAGAAACCACAGCTGTTTGGATTAATATTCCAATTCACAACTTTGCTTTCATAAAGGAAGCATTCAATATACATAACAATCCTATAAAATTCAGGGGAAAATGGCAAAGGCAGTCAAAGAAAGTAGTTGGACGTTTGAAGGTTTCCAGTTGTAGAATGTAAGAGAAACACAGTATAATGACATTCTCATGACGTCCTGTAATTTTAACTCGACAATTCTGTAACCATTGCAACAGACACCTTATATAGGAATAAGTGAGCTACACAAAATTGTTGATATTTGACTATCTTTGATTTTCACTTTTTAAAATTAAATACAGTTGAACTTAAAATTTGCTATCTCAGTTAAAATTTGCCATCTCAGTTAAAATTTATTCTTGCTTCTCTGTAAGCAATGAAATTAGGAATAGAAACAGTTTTGTGTCATTATAGTGTCTAGGGAGGCAGGCTAACAAGAAAGAAGAGATTTTGATATTCCTACTTTTTTTTTTCAGGACCACCAGCAGCATTTTTGTGGTATGCCAGTAGTGTCAAGTTTTTAGATGTTCACTTGTAACTTTGCCTCTGATATTCTGTGGTTCTTTCCAGCCATGCAGCTCTCTTCTGCTTCATTTCTCTCCATTTGTGCTGTTTGTCTCTGTGATGTGAATCCATCCCTATCCATTATGTCATGTCTCCATTTTTCGCTGCTTCTTCAGATTGCACTGAGCCGTAAGAGGTAAGCTGCATAAGAAGAGGGAAAACTGACTTTCCTTTCTGTCCAGGAAGGATTCTCTAGCCAAGGCTTTCCATACCCTGTCCCTAAAACTAATGCTTTCCAAACTACACTTTGAAAGGAACTAATAATAAAATTTAACCACAGTCACATTTATACTAGAATGCCTTGAATGCTGTGGCATATATATTGTGAATTCGGTTCTTGTTGCTATCTTCTACTAGAATACACAGTAGTATCTTTAGCTCTGCATCTCAACAGTCATATGAAAAGTACAGTGTACCAGAAATTTGTGTCATGCACTGCTATATTGAATATAGAATTCCCTAGCCAGTTTTTGTCCACCAGAATCATGAGGATTATTATAAAAAGATAGTATTTGTGGGCCGGGGATCTAGCTCAGTGGTTCTGCCGCCTGCCTCATAAGCACAAGGTCCCGAGTTCAATCCATGGTACTAAAAAACAAAATAAAACAAAATAAAAAACCAAAGAAGATAGTATTTGAGTGCCCCTATTATCATTGCTTCATGCAGTCACATTTCCAAGTGATACTAGGTTTAGCTATTTATATGGGTCAAATTCATCAGACAATAACCAACCTGCCCTTTAATGTTGTACTGTGTAATGGGAATTCTTTTCAGATTGATCTCAATTCCATTTCCAAACTTAGATTACAATGTCCAAGGTCAAAAACGGTACACTAGTAACATCTGAGCTTTATCATGAGACATATTTGAGAGCAGTAAATTAAAATTGCCTTTCATTCAAAAATTCCTTGAGCTTCCTGAACAACCTCACATACCACAGTTTGAATGGTTTATTTATGTATTGCTCATCCTGTCAATTACCATGTAATAGTTAAGGGCAGTGAAAAGGTTCTACCTCACCCAACAGGCCTAGGTTAGGTTTCACCTTATTAATCCTGAAGGAGCCAAACTTCATGACAAAATGCTATTCCAGTGTTATTTCTGTCTTCCTGTCCTAATGCACTGAGTTCACATTGCTTTATACTGAAAACATGTCACAGTATGATGGGCTAAAAATAAATTTATATCACGCTCCTTGCACTCCAGACTGGCAGTTTTTAAAGTTCTAGTCTTTTCCAGACACAGATAAGTGTATCCAAAATGTTTAGTAAAACAAACGTTTAATACAAGAGAGTGCAGATACTCAGACAATGTGGTATGACATTACAATATTGATTACTCTGACGATGAAAGTCATCTGACTTTTTACAATTGAAGTTCACTATACATAAGACTTATTTCTGAGACTTGTGTCCACATGGCTAATGATAGATTCTTGTCAGTTATGTCAATGATAGGATGTTTCAGTTGGTGCCCACCTTTTATTCAGTGTTTTCACATAGATCAACTTTTTGTACTGTGACTATGTATAATATGCTTTGTAAAATTAAATCCTTACATAAATATATTTCTTATTGGAATTCATGATGGTAGAATTTAAGACATAGATCATGAAGAAATGCTTAATGAGTTAATTTACTTGAATCATCCAGTGTTTGAGATACTGTGGTACTCAAAAGTATGAAGGGGGAGGGAGGAGAGAGATGGGAATAAGGAAGGCTTCTCAGAGAGGTAACTAACTGAATCTTAACAGTGGGAATTTTCCACAAGGAAGGAAATTTAAAGGTTAAAAAAAAAACATGAAAATGTATGAGATGTCTTGTTTGGGAAACTGCAACTAGTTTAATTGGATCATAGCACACTTTTGATGAGACTAGAAACAGAAGTGAACCAAATCACAGATGTTGAGTTTCTTTACTCGTTATGTGATTGAGGTAGATGGGACCTGTAATAGATTGATTTTAAATGAAAAACAACAATATGAGCCCATATCCGTGTTTTAAAAAATGGTATTACATGGAACCTGTGTTCCGTTTTTAAGTAATTAATATCTCCCTACATTCTAAAATCATCTTTCACTGAGTTGTATAACTTAAGACAATAGTGAACCAAAGAAAAACTAGTATAAGTCTGAGGGGCAGAGAGACCCAATATTGGATCTTATATGTACCCATTGCCAGCTATGCAATAGTGGGGAAAGTAGACCTCCTTTTTAAAAATCTTAAAATGAGAATATTATTTTTAGCACACAAGACTGTTACATATTATAATTTATAAAAGTTAATTTCCACATAATTTTCTCATTCAATAATCATTATTTTAACAAAATGGATTGATGCATTATTAAGAATACTATTGGTTGAAATGGTGAAAATTATTTCAACTTGAAGATCTATTATTACTGAGCATTCTATGGTTATCAAGTAACCCTGAGGTGATGACTAATACTGTGATACATTTTTTTTAAACTGGCACAAGTCATGAGATACGTTCATATTTTATGTGTACTTTTCTTATGACTTATTAATCTTCTATTGGAAACTATACTTCTTCCTTCCTTAACTTTTATTTATTTAAATTTTTAAAGAGTTCATTAGAGTATCTCACTTTTACCAGCTTTTGAGTATCAGCCAAAAGCCATTTCTTCTTTTACTTTTTCAACCATATGTATGTTGACATGACAAGATGGAACCACATCTGTATTACCCCCAAAGAAATGTCCTGTTTCTAATTTATCAATTAAAATAATTTCCTCTGTGTGAAACATTTTCAATTGAAACCATGTTTATTAACCCAATTTGGTCTGTTATTCATGACAAGATAAAAATTTTAAAAAGATTAACTCAATAAAATCTTTCTTTTTCTACTGGCCAAAATAAGCAGGAAGTAGTTTCATCCCCTTGAAATATGTGAATTCTCATAATAACAGATTTGAGTACAACAGCACCAAACCCTGATTAAAATAATACGAGTTCTAAAAATGAAATACTGGTATCAAGATTCACACTCAAATATCTTCATATTTAATAACAAAAGTTCTTTTGCTCTTACAGTTGCCTCTAAATACACAAAATGAAAGCATGCAATTACTTGACAACTTTGAGAAGAGGCAAAAGTAACATAGAAACCTGCTTAGAATGTCCTTCCTTCAGCATCCAAACTTGCCTTCGTGGCTTCATTTTTCCAGATTTCCCACTCATGTGCCAACATCACTCTGGGAAACAACAGTCAAGTTAAATTAATACACGGAGGTTAACATAAACTAAAAAGTACCTAGTGGTGCTCCTTAGCAGTGATTTAAACATATTCTTCATGAATCCCACATTCTTCTTTCCTTACCAACCCTCCTCAGGAAGCCCCGGTAGTGGCCAGAGCAGCCTTGTTCCTGGAATGCTCCCGCTTTGTCCACCGCTGCAACCGTGGCAACTGGCCCGAGTGGATGAAAGGACACCACGTGAACATCACCAAGAAGGGCCTGTCCCGGGGACGCTCCCCCATCGTGGGAAACAAGCGGAACCAGAAGCTGCAGTGGAACGCTGCCAAGCTCTTCTACCAATGGGGAGACGTGAGCTTTTTCTTTTCTTCTATAAAACTTACAGCACTTGAATGAAGTAGACAGTTCTTTTTTTTTAAATTGCCCTTGTTTTGGAGACACTTTATTGAGTGCCTTTTATGTACCAGGCACTGAATGAAACTTTTGGGAGGAAATGAATAACCTATTTAATTCTCTCAGTAAGTCTTTGAGGTTAGATGTTACTTTCGCTGTTCTACACTTAAGAAAACTGGTTAATATAGGTCAGGTGACTTGACATATCTAGTAGATGGAGGAACCAGAATCCCATCATCCATACTGGATTCCAAAGCCTTGCTTTTAATTGCTGTATTCATCAGAAACCATCTTTGTGAAAATCATTGTTACAATAATTTAAAATTTGCATACTTGTTTTGGCTCTCTATTCTAATTTATACTTCCCAAGATATGACATTTTACAATCTCCTGATAGAATTTTCTCTTTTGTTGATGTACCAACTCAGTTGCCTGAAAGTCTTTGGAAATGAGCACACACACACACACACACACACACACAGGCACATGCATACACACATATATACACAAATACAAATGCCCAGTTTGTATGCAAGTATGGTTATGAATTAGTGAATAAATAAGAAATGAATGAATCTTCTTTAGGCCTTTAATTCCAATTTCTTCACTACAGGAGAGAAAAAAAGGTAAGGAATAAAAAGAAACTCAAGAGGACTAAGTTTTTTCTAATTTTAGACAGAAAGAAACTCAAATATACATATAAAGGGTTCCAAAGATTCTTCTTGCCTTAAAGAGCACTTAATTTCCCTTAATAATTCACCTGAGAGTACCTATCAATGTGCCAATGCAGAATATTTTTTGTTTAGTTTTAGCCACATCTCTTTTTCAAAATACCAAAGCACATTCAAAAGGTATAAATTATACACAGTATGTGTGCATTCTAGCTATTAAAATGAATACATTAATCTTTCCCATTTTAACTGCTATTCTTTGAATTTTCTCTTATACAAACTCATCCTATGTAAAAAAAAATGTATAAAGTATCCTTCATAGCTATCAGATAGAACCCAGTGGTGATGATCAGGACTTAGCATTGCCCTCTCCAGGATTCTGTTGTACATTACATATGTGAGCAGAACTGATTTCTCCCATATGATGTTCATTTTTTTTAAATGGCCAAATTATTACACAATTCCACTGTACTTAATCCTACATTTAATTCTGTTTGGATTTAACAGTATTAAGCACAGGGTTAATATAAGTCAAGCAGTGTAAGTAAAATTCGTATCATGAGATACATAGATAATTTAGTCATAGAAGCAGAAGGAATGAAAATCCATTATTAAAAATCCATCATCATTCCATCTTGCATGATTTTAATTCGCATAAATTAGAAAGGAAGATTCATCGAGCTAGAAATTAAAATACTGAACCTATGTTCTGAACTTCTTTCTCCCTCCCCCACTGAAACTGTGGCTGTGGGCCTGAATTATCATGGCACCTGATTAGAACATCTGACAAGTTAAAATGCTATATTAAAAGATGCAAGTTAATAAACTCATCAAAAGGCCCTGGATGACACATGAAAAACTTGGACATCAGATGTGCATATAATTTGTTCAGTGTACCTGGTTGGGGAGATTTATACCCAATAGTTATGTATTTGCCACTAATATTGGAGAAAAGGCATTGCATGTTCCTGATCTACCTGAGACGATACTACCTACAGAACTAAATTCTTAATTAGCAGATAATAAACTGTTACTAGTCTTTCTTAGAGCAAAGATAACAATGTATAAATCTTTAAGTAAAAATTATGACTTTGTCATGTGTTCCACTTATCTGGAAGACTGTTTTTACCTTCCCCATGGGGAGATCAGATATCATCAGGAGTCTAGCCTGCCCTCAGATGTTCAAAATAGTTGTGTTAATTGCCACATCAACACCTTATTGTTACTTTGTGAGGGTGGGGTATTTTATTTTCTCTCTTTGAAAGGGAAGATGAGTCTTCCCCTAAATTTACTTCATAAATAGCCATGCTAACAAGAAATCTTAGGAGCACACATTACAGTAGACAGAACATGGGGAGAAGAAGAGAGAAGAGACATTATTGGACGAGAATGGAGAGTGGGGAGAGCGGCTAGTCCTAAGCACGTCCTTCAAAAGTGGCACCTTTCAGACAATTTGTGAAGTATATGTCTGCCTGATGCTAGGCCACCATAAAACCGGATTAGATGCGGAAATGTGAAAGCAGCATTATGGGAAAGGTAGGACAGGCAATTGGAGGGTGCCTTTTTTTTTTCCTTTGGTTCTGTACTCTTCTTCCAACCAACTGTGAGAACCTGTCATTAAGCCTTTTGACCCCCACTCAACCCCAGGGCTCACTCATCCTAAATGTCACAACCTGGTCGTTCCTCTGGTTAGAAGATAAGTGAGTCGCAGCCCCAGCTTCCCACTAAATAGACCTGCAGAACTCAAGTTTTTCTCTTTCAAACTTAGTGCTTTTATTACTAAAACAGTAATAGTTTCTAATGACTTAGTTTCACAGATGCTGTTTTATGCTCGTGCTTTGTTACTATTAAAATAAAACATCAGATAGAACATTTACATCACCAAGTGACGGAGAGCAGCTGATGGTTTGTTCTTATTCTCAAACCCCTTTATTTTCTATCCAAAACCGTATTAAAACCATTCAGCCCTCTGCTGGTGAAGTGTCTTCCTGTTTTCCACGAAAGACCTCCTAGAACATACAGTCAGTCTCTTAGGGAAATCGGAAGCATAAAGCATTTTTCTTCAATTGTCCAGTTCATTTAAGGGGAGAGGTGTTTTGACTCCTTTGTTATTTCTCCTCAGACAAAATCAGGCAAACAGTTATAAATAACTAACAAAGAGGTTTTGCTAATAATTTCCTTATTAATTAAACAACACACATGAACACTTTATTATAAGAATATAAATTGCAAATGTATTTGCTACATATGCATAATTTATCACTCTGGGAAAGGCCTCCTTCTCATGACCTAAAGGAAAAAAGACAACTTTACTACAATGCCAGTCTCCTTTGAGTCCTCAATATAGCAACAATAATCAACTGTATGATAAATTTGGATGTTTCAGGGTGTCTCCCAAAGCAATCCACCCCCTCATATTTTCTTACTTATACAGGACAGGTGGCCAGATGTGTGAGGCCTAAATCACTCTATTATTCAGCTTATTAGAAGCACAGAGAGGGCTGGGGATTTAACTCAGTAGTTCCACCGCCTGCCTCGAAAGTGCAAGGTCCCGAGTTCGATCTCAGGTTAAAAAAAAAAAAAAGCATAAAGAGATAGATCACTGGTGACTTTTTGAAACATACCAATTTAATAAGAATATCAATTTAATTTAATAAGAATTACAATTTTCCATTAATAGGTAAAATTATTTTTCACTTTGATACTTTATACACTACTATTTATTTGAAAATCTTCTATTAGTAATCCCTGTACTTTGTTTATATGGTTATTCCAATTGTAGTACTTTGTCATGTTCTATTATCTTTATGTATAATGTAATAAATACAAATACAGTTGGTTTATTTCATCTCATTTAAATTGAGAGAGTTCATAACAGAGGCAATATTCATTGAAAAGCTACAAGCCTGCCCTTTACACTGTCCTTCTAACCTACCTTCTCCAGAACTGCAAAAACCTCCCAAGTGAGCCTTAGAGTTCAATGCAGCCTATTGGGATTCTGAAGCCATTCTCCTTTCTCTTCCATTCCTTTCCTTCCATGAGACAGACCTAATTAGTGATCTTTTAAAAATTAACAATGAGATTTGGAGTCACTAAGGTAGATAATTAGACCAGATGTCAAAAACTTTATTTTCCTTTCAGAATATTTTCTTTATTTTTTTTCTAAAGCAATATGGAAGAACTTTATAATAATAATGGTCACTGCTTTCATTCCTTTGCTGATGCTTTTCTTTATCTTTTTCCTTTTTATTTTCTAAGTCTCAGAAATGGTGACTTCCTCAATTATTTTGGGTTCAAGGACAAAATTAGGTTTTGAGTAGAGCTGGCCCATTTCTTCAGTTTGTAGTAGTGGTTTTGCCCCATTGCATTACCTACCTCATTCTCAGAGTGTTTCACTGAATCATCTTTCTGAAATAATAATTCTAATTCCTAAACCCACAGGCTTCCCACAAGAAGGAGGAACCATAAATTCAGTGGTGAGCATTATAGGGTTTCAGATTTACAAGGATTCTTTGACTAAGAGATTTCCCATACAAGTGTTTTCATGACCAATATCCTCTGACTTCCTTGCAGCCATACACACTGCTGACTGCCCTCATCTTTCTGTTCCTTTTATCCTCCGTGACTGTTATGCTCTGGAGCCTCTGACATCTCTGTTTCTGTCCTCTGCCACTTCCCATAGTCCTCTGCTTCCTCCCATGATCCCCTGCCTCCTCCTTCCCCATAATGTAAGCATTGCCTGGAATCTCTTAAAATTTCTCCTGTCAAATTTTCCCCTGGGCTATATTATTTCTGTTTTTCTCACTGTTTTCTGTACCAGTAGCATAGATTTTTCTATCCATAGCACCTTTCAGATCCCAGGACTTCATTTCTACCTGTATTTTGGAGGCTTTTACTTAATATTCTAAAATTCAGTCTGTCCAAAATAAAACCCTTCTCCCCAAATAAACAGCTTTGAACTGTCCCTGAGCTTTCTGTTCTTATTAATTGTACCACCATCTTCTGATATGACAACTTTTGAGCATATTCCAAACCTCTTTCCTCTATTGTTTCTACCTCACCCACATCACTGTGTTCATAGGTCAGATCTTTTTGATTTCTTGTCTGAAAGATGAAAGTATTTTCCCATGTGGTCTCCTCCTCACTGCCT